ACAGCCTGACAATATACACTTACCGATCAAAGTTTGAGGGGAAAATTGGCGGAGGTGTCTTCGAAGAGTGCCCTCCGATTGCAGTGTTCTCCAGGCTGTTCGCTGTAAAGACGGCTGCAAAGCAAATCGGATCAAAGTTTGAGGGAAGAGTTGGCGGAGGTGTCTTCTTAGAGAATCCTCCGATTGCAGTGTTCTCCTGGCAGAGATGTTTGCTGTAATGACGGCTGCAAAGCAAATCGAAGCTAACTTTAAAGCTCACCTCATTTTCAGCGACAGTCGGATAATACTAAAACACACCGGGTTCAGTTACTTTAACTACCAAATTAAAGCTACACTGTTACCGATCTCTACAGGAGATGGTCAAACAGAACATAATGTCTTTGCCCTGGGTGCCTCATTGCAGGGGCTCCAGAGAAACCGTAAGGCGGATAAACTTGCTAGGCAAGGTATGACCAAGCAGATTCTTATCGATAAAGAACATATTGATATATCTTTTGCCACTTGCAAAGTGCTTCTCATGGAATTTATATCAGAACAGGTTGCATCAAGGTATAATGACACTATAACTGCCGTAAATCCATGCACACCTGGCCGAAGTAGGATTAGAAGAGATCACGAGATATGTATTCCTTGAAAAGAAGGGGCATGTCCAAAGTAATAGAAGTTTTGACAGACCGGTGTCTGTTGGGACGGCACGCAGAAATATTATTATTACACTGAAGAAACCGCAAGGCATATGAGGAGGAGGAAACCAGCTCTAATGCAAATGTCCTGCTTTGAGCAGCGGTAGATTTTTGGCACGCTTCTGCTGGATAGCCCATCGGAGTTAATCGACGTGAAGAGATTCATTATGGAATCAAAATGGCTGAATAAGGAAGCCTGATGGCCAGGTTTTTGTAGCAACACAATGGGTCTTAGTGAGGCCGAAATGTATCCGATACGATTGAGATACGATAGATCGGCAGACACCACAAGCTAACCTAACCTAAAAACATATCAAGCACCAGCCTATATCATGAACTATATGGTAATTAGAGAATAAATACAGATCATCCAAGAAAGCATATTTTCTAAATGGGTATTTCTGTCTTATAAAATCTTAAATGAAAAAAACTTCGATAAGGGAATATGGAATATTTTTTTTCTATTTTCAAAAACAAATAATAAAGTAAACAAACCGAGCATTTTTTCTGCTTTTAATTTATTATCCTTGTTGTGTCACACCTATTCACAGTGCCTTAAATATAGTTATCATGAAGCCATAACAAACCCATAAACAACCAACGAAGACGTCAAGCATTCAACGCCCAGTCTTTTCTAAATTGTTTTATCGTTGCCACACAATCAAAATGCTTCGTCACACACTTGGTTCTTCAACGCCAGTCCAGGGCATCTAACTAAGCAAATAAAGCTTTGGCCAACTACCTTATTATTTTGCCATTTTTTTTATACTGTATACATATATACATACGAGCACATAGTATTATATTTTATAAAGCAGACTATAGAAATTTGCAGAAAATTTTCGACTTCCTCTGCTCGCATATGGCGTGGCAGAGCGGGAGGACTTTGCGTTGTGCGTTGTTATTGTGCCACTCTCGGTTTATCATTGAGTGTTTCGGACTTGTATGGTCAGTCAGCTATGTCGCTTAACCTGTGATAACCTCTCACTCACTAAATACATATGCATACGTGTATATGTATTTATATATATATACTTATGTTAGTATGTGTAGGCAGGTAGGTTGTCCGAGCTGTGAAAATTTCATCCAATGTCTGGTTGCATGTCTAACCACCATTAAAGCAATGTTGCACGACAAAACGAACAGCATACCAGTAAATACAAACAAAATGGATATTATATCCATAGAGTATATATATACATACATTCATGTAATATGCTCGCCTCTATATAAATAAGAGTAAATAATAAAGGAGTTAATTCACTTTTTTTCACATAACCACACTTTTTGGCAGAAGATTAAGTACGTAATCCTTTGCTCCACACTTTTTTTGTGGAGTTTTTTGTTTGTTTGTTTTTTTTTCGGCTTAAGGCGTATGTGGATACGTGTGTAGATATATAAGCGTGCTGGGCCCAGCTATAGCGGTAATTTGGGTTTGTGCATGATTTGATTTGCTACGAAAAATGATGTATTACAAATGATAAAAATCGTCAGTTAACGTGTTATTTGCGAATTAGCATTGGCTCCGTGCAGACATTACCCAATTTTGGGTATTATGAAAGTTATTAAGCCAAAAAAAAAATAAAATAAATTATTATTATAATTTAGGTGCTGGAAAGTGAAAGTGCAAGTTTCAGTTATCAGATTGACCTAAAAATAAGTATACATACGTACATACATAAGCACAGAGAGATGTTATATTATTTCTGCTTTAGCTCTAGCGGCTGCCCTTTTTCGATGCTTCTTCTTCTTCCACTTGAGAAACCAAACAAATAGTTTTCTTTGTTTTTTTTTGAGAGGCATTTATACTTCCAATTATCTGAAACCCGAAAACAAAAAAATCGAAATGGCGGCTCCGAAACGAAAAATAATTTTGTGAGAAATTCTACACTTCAAAGTCTCCTACGATCATTACCTAACATATATGCCGTAGAAAACATCCTTTCGAGAAAAACGCATTTACACCTTCTTACATATACATATACAACCTATACAAAGACTTAGCGGTGATAAGACAGCTTAGGCTACTCCACCTTGCACTTCGCTCTTTTTCGAAAGCCACGAGGCGTCCTTAATGATACGATCATATCGCCGAGACTGTTTGTCGGATCAACTTCAGATTTTCGGAAAATATTCTCAAATTAAAAATTTTTGCATTCAAAAAATTAAAAAAATAAAAAAATTTTGAAAATCACAAGTGGATATTATCCCTTAATTGGCATAGACACCGCCACGATTATAGCCGAATCAGCGAAAGTTCATCAATCGTTTTTTTTAGTTTTCGGCACCAATTGAAACCACCAAGCAAAGTTAGGTCCTTCTCCAACCTATCTCCAACGGAGTGGCCCCATTTCCTCGGCCTCCACGGCTTTCAGAGCTGAAATGCTTTCATCCTATCGGACGGCAGTGTAGCCGCTGTCGTTTTATTCGCTGAACTGTGTCCATTTTCAATCCGTCCAAGTGTATTTCTGACATAAAATAAGAGTCTCCTCAAAAACCCTTCAAAACCCACACTACAAATCGGAGGAAGAGTTGGGCCAAAAGTCATTACAGTTACATGTCAAACTCATGGAAGATGGGTCAAGAAAAATTTCGAGTAAATGAGAAAAAGCTTTGACTGCTTTTAGTGGACAGAAATGATCATTTTAAGCCAACTCTCTTCTGCAGAGCTCACAAGCAAATTTGGAGGCAAGGTAAAGTGAGAAGGCGAACCCTCTATAGCTGTGAATAGAGTTTGGGACTAACTTTGTGAAAAATCTGCCCCCGATGAACAAATCAAACAAAGCGTCGCAAAAATTTTCAATGATCATGATTTGAGTGCAGCGGTCTCTCAATTGGGGAAGTGCTGCGAGCTGGCTGGTTTATCTCCACGTAAGATGAAAGGCTGACATTCCCGGCATTCCAAGCTCCAAACCCATCGCCTTTCATAAACAATTGGCTTTTAAGAGTATTGTAAAAAGGTTTGGTCCGATAAGGAATTTCGAAGTACACAACACGTGAGAGGGAGAAGAGCTGGTCGATGTGTGTGCTGCTCGAATGTTCCATGATAAGATGCGACTTTTAACAGAAGGTTTCAAGACCATAACTAAGGAGGTAATCTGACGATCAATAACACTGAGTCCATGGAGGTAACACTTATGCAGCTCACTGAAAGACAATGAAAGTGAAACACTCGGAGATGATGAGCCCAAATTCTAAGATCTAAGTGTCAGGATTCGATAGCTTTGCGGCTAAGATATATATATAAGTAGAGCCGAACAACTAAATCAAGCACTTCTAAGTAGTAAATATTTTGGTCTTTCTAGGACCCGAGAGAGACAAGTTTCGCGAACGATTTATGGACCTTTTCGCAAGCAATGAATGTATGTATGTATGTAGCTTCACACGCGAGAAGAAGAAAATTATGTAGTTATTAAATTTTCATCACACTTGAAACTAAAAAACCATCCCCGCTGGTGAGGGGCTCAAGAATTTGCCTGTGGTAAAGCATATAAAGAAGAAGAAGAAGGCATGCATGTAGTAAGAGGAGACTGAAATTCCGCGACGGTCGGGTCTTCATATCGCAACGACCCGGATTTTTAGCCGGCCGAGGACTGTTACTCCCGCAATATTCCCCGAAAACAAAAAAGTTTATCACCAACAATACTTAATTTTGCTCAGTTCAAAATCATTTTTTTCTACAGTACATACATATGTACATATATATATAAGAAATAGTGGGGGAAAGCACGTCAAAGAGCTTGCAACTTCTTATTGCTTCCGCTCAACAAAGCTACGGGAAGAAATTCAACAAATTATTTAGCTAACAAAGATTCAAGTACAAAGAATTACTTGAAAGCTTTGCTTGTAAAACAAGTGATTAATCACTTTGCTCACACTGCCACTCAAACTGTCGCCGTATTACATCCTCAAACACAAACCCTTTGCACGGTTAATCTCGTAGAAATTCATTGTGAATCGAAATTTTAACAAAAACATCGCACTAAATGAAACTATCGTTATTTCACTCTAATCCGCATCAAAAAAATATACCAGAAAAGCTGCACTGACAGAGCCGAATGCAAGTCGGCGGCACTCATACATGCTCAACTGCCCCCAGCATAATTGGCAAAGAGAAACAGTTGGCCATTGCAACAAAGTAGTAAAATAACGGACGCAGAAGTGAAAATAGCAAGTAGCCGGCGAGTGAGTGTGGCAATGAAGGAAATTACAAAAAAAATCAATTTTTGAAAACAAACAAGAGAAATGAAATAATTAGCATTTTTTAGAAAACTTCAAGCTTAAAGAAAAATCTAACAAAAAATTAATTTAAATTATTTGTGAACCGCTTCTACACTTAATTTGTTTGTTGTAACTCTGGCACAAGTCCATATTTTTATCTCACAGATACTTATGCTGCAGCAGCGTCTCCAAAGCCGTCAGCCACACACTCACGCACATACAAATTCCCGTCAGTTGACACTACGAACAGCTGTGACTGTGACTTGCCAATACCATTCACAATAACCACGAGGCAAGTGTCAAAAAATATAAGTGAATTACCAAACACACGCTCCATCTAGTTATCTCTCTCACACACACATTAGCTACGCTCGATTCTGTGCGACGACGGCAGCAGTGACGCCAACGACCGAGACTGCGACTGTTTCTGTTTGTGTTTGCATTTACTAGAGTTCGATTAACTGCAGCGCTCGCCATGTCGTTGAGTGAGTGAGCGAACGAGGCATGAAAAAGTCGTATCGAAGGTGGTGGCTGAAAAAAATTTATTTATTTATTGAAAGTGCTGTAGAAATATAATGAAATATAACAGTATATGAAAAGCGAATGTGAAATTCTATACGAAAGAAATAAAATAGTAAAAATTGTGTTTCAACGCAGTCATTTATTCAGTAAAGAATTGGTGCTCAATTTTTTTTTTTTTTTTTTTTGTAGATCAAACGATACAACAGTGCATATTCATTTGTGTGTTTGTATACATATGTACATACATATATGTATGCATAAACACAACCAATACCCAAAGTAGCAAACAAGGCGTACATAGCAACAACAACAACGAAATAATTGTGAATCAAAAGTAAAAAAATATACAAAAAATATTCAAGTGCAGACGTAAATGCGATTTTTTCTCTTATTTATAACACCACCACCACCACCACCACCAACACACCATCTTCACTATTATGCCTTTTGCGTCATTCTCTTTGCTACCAGCTTCGCTCGTTAACTCCTAAATTTACCCTACTTCGTTTCGTCGCGTTCGTTCAACATTTTGACGCCCTGTAAATTCGCTGCCCGGCACAAGCGGAAACCGTGCAACGCTACCGAAAATACATTTTCCTATAAAGTGCTTACATACATACATGTATATATGTATGTATGCATGCATGTAAACAAATGAAACAAAGCGCATGTATGTATATGCGACCATGCAATTCCATTTTGGCAGTAAAACGAAAAATCTCTGAGGCATTTGTCCTTGCGCGAGCAGGATGACAGGATATTATTTGAGTGAAATTATATACGTAAACATAGATATTTACGCGAGTATTTTCTCTCATTAACGTTCATATAGAAGAGTATAATAAAATTGCAAAAGCACAACAGAATAAGGAATTGGCGAAAGGTAATAAAAATGTCAATGTTAAATTGAAATTAGTCAAATGAAGTGCAGTGATTTAACGGTGTTTATATTATAGAAATTTCGAAAAATATAAGTAAATTAAAAAAAAAAAAAAAGTAAATATAAAAAGTTATAATTATTAACCGTAATAGAATATAAATATTGAAAATTTACTAAAAGCATAGCGTAAAATCGGCGAAAAAATAAATCGATTGCAAATCACATAGAAGAAAAATAACAAAAAAAAAACTTGAAAAATCACGACGCGCGTGTCTGTCTGCCTACATTCAAGCAACCGCTGTAAACGCCCTCTTACGCATCAACACACGTTCCGTTTTATTGTTGTCCTTTGACATACGTAATAACACCCGCACATCCGCCCACTTCCGTTGCAGCGCAAGTGAATTTGCAAAGTTTCAAAACCGCAAAAGCGCGTCTGCTCTGCTATTGTCTGTGTGAAAGCGCGTGTGTGTGTGCGAAAAAAAAAATTACATCTCAAAGTGTGGGTGTGTGTGCATGATTGTGTTTGTGTTTCCATACACATCAACATATATACACATATATAAATTTACATACGTATTTCAGTGCAGCAAGGCTTTGCATAAAATAATCGAGTTTATTATTGTTCCATTTCAAGGATATCTTCTACGTGCAACAAAGCAAAAGAAATATATATATATGTATATCTGTACGTAAGCGTGTTTATGAAAAGCAAGCTTTACGTATAACGGTTTTACTTAAATATTTGTGCAAGGATGTTATTGAAATTTAACATATTTTATGTGAAATTATATAAAAGTTGCTGCTTTTCTGATGACGTGCGTAGAAATCGGGATTTTGAAGCCGGTAAGTTGGGCGAAAAAAAAATTATTAATAATACTTAATTTTTTTGTAAGCAGAAATATTGTTATTAAACTGGGAAAATACAAAAATTAAAAAAAAATTTAATTTTTTCACAATTTAAGTTATAGTAAAGTATATACTAGTATATTTGTTACTAAAAAGTAATCCATTATTTTAGATGGCTTTAGTGATCTGTCTCCCGCGTTTTAGTACAAGTGCAATTGCATTTTGCTGGATGGCATTAGAAAGACGATAATTTGTACCAAAAAATATAAACAGAGAATTGTTGCTCAATCAACTCAGCAATGTTTGAGCGCAAGTCAAAGATGGATACCAGCAAAGAAAAAAAATTTACTCTAGAATTTTCCATCTATGAATCGTAATAAAAATTAATTTATATCTGAAACGAATGGTCTGACTGGTGATGAAAAGTGGACTACCTACAGCAACATCAGACGGAGACCGTCGAGGTCGAAGGACAGTGAGCCGGCACAAACGGTCTTCAAGCCAAAATTGACGGCTGAGAAGGTTTTGTGGTGTGTTTACTGGATGTGGCCGCTAAGAGTTGCTTCCCAAGGGCCAATCTCTCAACTGTAGCAATTGCACCGTTTGAAACTTTAGCCAAGAGGTGGGAAATTGTGTTTCCACAGGACAATGTCAGACCACACCGCTCGATAGTGACGCGCCAGTAGCTCCCAGAGTTTGGTTTGGAGGCTCTTATGCACCCACCTTATAGTTCGGACCTCGCGATGAGTGATTTTCATCTTTGCATGTGATTTGGCAAAAGAATCGGTTTCAAAAGAAATCTCAATTGTCCCAATTTATTGCCAATAAATACGAGGGTTTCTATGGGAGAAGCATTCNTATATATATATATATATTGTTATATATTTTATGACTATTTTATGCCTTGGAAGATTCTCTAGCATCAGTTTTATTTTGAGTACAATTCCTCAAAAAGGTATGCCACTTTTTCATAGATTGACTCTTTCTTCCTTAGAGCAAATCACTTGATGAAACATTAAAAAAAATTCCAATTTATTTTGCTATGAAAATATCTTTTTTGAGCTTTTCAGTGCCTCGCCGCTGCATCCTGCCGCCTATCCTTTTTTCGGCATGCCGCCTCTTTTATTTCTTATCTTCTTGCTTTTACCAAAAAAAAATATATTTTTCTTTATCCCTGTGATCCTCAACTCAATGAAATTCTCATTCACGCACCAAATAACCAGGTTAAAGTTTATTAAAACAACCTATTCATCTCTATTTGATTCTGTTAATAGAATATGTATGTATACATACAAATCATATTTTTCATTTCGTTTTGTGCTAAAAAGACGCTTTGAATTATTATATTTCCTCTCTCAAATACTTTTGTACACATTTTGTGCCATAATACATTTTTCCCACAGCTTCACCTTTGTTGCTGCCACTTAATTAACGAGATGCTAGCAGCGGTTCATCGATGCAAATGGTTGAATAAAAAGTTTAATTTTTGATGAAAACTTAACCTCGACCTCGACGCGTCAATGTTTTTGGTTTGTGGAGGGGGAAAAAATAGGTGATAGAAAAGAAAAGTACATATTGAATAGAGTGTGTTTGTTGCGAATTTATTTAAATCTTTCAAATCATAACTAGTTTTTAAGTAGTTATTTTTGGACTAGACCCGAACTAGTTGAAATGTAAAGAGTCCTGAAACAATAGTTGTATTTTATTTAGCTTACAATCACGAGTTTCTTGATAATTTAAATAGTTAAATTTTTTTTTAATAATATGCTACTACTTTTTACGGTTTTAAACTTTTATTAGCTGAAAATAGCTTGGAGTTATATTTTCTGCACTTTTGAAAAATGAAAAGATGTTCTGTTAGAGTGCTTGAGTGGTACTAATGCAATACTGTTACTTAACAGGTCTCATTTTAACAATTTTTTGTAACCAGTTATTTTCGGACCAGTTTAAAACTGGCTATATATTTTTGGTGAATTTATTTTCATCAAGTTTGGTGAAATAGAAAATTGTAAAATATGTGTTATATAAATATAAAAGATTTTATTTATTTATTTTATATCTGCGTAATATCCAACACTTAGTTAAACATTTCGGCCACAAACTCTTTCATAAGCACTTCTTATCAGCTTGGAATTAACTTCCTATATTTTTCACAAAAGAAAAATAGTTAGTTAAACTCTTTATGGTACATATGTAATACTGTTCCTAACCTCAACAATTTTGTAACTAGTTGTTTTCTGACCAGTTTTAAACTAGCTCTTTTTTGTGAAATTATCTTTATCGAATTAATAATAGTTAAACTCTTATATGGTATATAATACTTGTCCTAATTGCAACAGTTTTGTAACTAGTTGCTTTCGGACCAGTTTTAAACTAGTTACTCTATTTGCGAAATTATTTTTATTGAATGAATAATAGTTAAACTCTTATATTGTATATAATACTGTTCCCAACTGCAACAGTTTTATAACTAGTTGTTTTCGGACCAGTTTTAAACAAGTTACTTTTTCTGCGAAATTATTTTTATTAAATTAATAAAAATAAAAAATTTTAAAATATGAAATTATGTAAATATAAAAAATTTTACTGCGTAAATATATGTTCCCACTTGGGTAAAATTCAACGCACAGTTAAAATTGTTCACAAAAATTTGCTATTAATTATAATTATTTTCCTCACAATGGAAATTAATTACCTTTTATTTTAAATTTTTATTAAATTTACATATACATAAATACTAATGGCTAGTTAGAACTACTCATATTATATCGTTTACCACTTCACTAGTCGAACTTTGCCTGTTGGCTCTTTTTTCTTCGTTCACTTTACAACCTTTTTCATCTGCCTTTGTTTACACTCGAAAGTATTGTGCAAAGAATATCCAGCCGCACATCGTTGGCAGTAGTAGGTAGACTTCTTCCCACTCACACCCAAAAGGCTGCTAAGCCAGCAACAGCAGCATCCAGCCAACCAACCAACCAACTATCCTATGCACTAAGCAATAAGAAAAGAGTAAATAAGAGTGTATGCAGCCGTTTTTCATGGCACATAACAGCAAAAGTCAAGCCAAACCAAGAACCACTTGCATACAAACAAAACTGGCGCGTCGGCTCTCTGGCGCAAAGTACAAGTTAAAGTGCTCATATTGATATAGGTACATATATGTATGTATGTATGTATGTACGTACATATGTATATGTATGTGATATCAGTGAGGCGCCTCGTTGCAGTGTAGGCATTACTTGTTCCAACAATAACAACGACTGCACTTAAGCCGCCACAATTCAGCGTCAGCAGATTCTTCGTGGATATATTTTTTTATCTATAGAGTTTTTTACATGTACCTATGTATATACAATATATGCTTAAATAATATGCATATAAGTAGATATATATGTATATGTACATACATATAATATTTATAAATTCATAAATGTTCCCTGCTGCTCATTTCTCAAAGCTTCCAGCTTTTCATCAACGCGCTGATGTTGAGAAAAAGGAAAAAAAATCAATAACAAATATTGAAGCAGCATTTGAGGGATGGCGCAGGTGGAAGTGCACGGAGCAAAAACTCATTGTAAGTTTAGGAAAACGCTGCGGATAGCACGTAAATGAGCCAGCTTTAGTTAGTTACCGTTAACTAAAGGCATGATGATGACGTGTCGCAACTCAAAACTTTTAGTTTGGGTAAATATTAATTTTTTAATAATTTTTTTTTTGTTTTGTAGTTGACAATACTTGGTCGCCCTTTGCCTGTGCCTTTTAATCAATGTTTTATGCGCGGAATATTTATTCAGTAAATATTTGTTTAATGCTCGCATGTGTGTTTTAGTATTAAATATTTAAATGAGCCTTTGAGGTACATACATATGTACATATATGTACGTACATATGTATGTACTTGATAAGATTTATGTTGAAAATTGTAAAATGTTAGTTAAAAAGTTTTCTATTGTTTTATAAACTGCATTAATTTAGTTTTTAAATAATAAAAAAATCGTATAAAAAATTTTATAAATTATGGTAAATGCAAAAAAAAAATTATGCACATATTTTAATAAAAACTTCATGTTGTTAGTATTTAAAATTGGAGAAAAAAACAATGGATTTATAAATATTTTTGCATATATTATGATAATTTGAAAATTAAAGTTACGCAATTTTGTCAAGAAAAAAATATTTTTTTATATAATTTATTTATCAAAATTAATTTTAATTTAGAAATTATTTTATTATTTTTTTATATAATTTGCTATTCTTTTTTATAAAGGGTTCTCCTATAAGAGTTATTATATTATTTTGAATAACCTGCTATTCCGGTAGATGTCGCTCTTGAAGATGTAATTTTTTAAATTTGATAAGTAATAAACTACGCCCGTAATAAAATTGTAACGATACAAGCCTCAAAAACGTTTTAAAATTATCAAAATTCACTTCAAAAATGGTTAAAACCTGGCAAAGGTGATATTTTTTTTGAAAAGCTTCTCCATTCTCAGCATGTAACTTTTTTATACTGTTTATGGTCCAGCGTGGTCATTGAACCTTATTTTTTCGAAAATTAATGGATTGCCCTATCGACAGATAATGATTTTTATGGCCGGTAAGCGGATGATATTGATTTGGATAAAGTTCTTTCAACAAGCCGACCCTAAGTGTCGCACCAGCAACGAAATCATAGATTTTTTAAGGGAAAATTTCCCAACCCGTGTTAACTCTCAAAGAGTTGAACGCAATTGATCACCGAAATCGTGTGCTTTAACAACTTGTGACGCCTTCCTCTTCCTTTTTAGCCACGTGAATGATTCAAGACCTCAAGTATGGAATTCGTAAATCTATTGAAGGCATGCAGCCACTGCTTTACAGGCTTTATTCACCATAGTTAGAATTATGCGGTTCATCTGAAATATGCTCGATTTTGCCATTTTCAAGATAATGTATTAATGCCTCTCTCATGGAAACCCTTGTGCCTATTGGCAAAAATTCTCTTGGGACCGATT